TGAAAGTGAAAGAGAATGAGTAGCGATTGAAGATAGGGAGTATTGAGGAAAGTACAAAAAGGGATGGGGTTCAAGAGGGCGGAATATGGCTTTTGACGTTGCGTTTAAGTTTCTGAAGATTGTAGTTATCAGGGAAGCAAGAAATCGGAAGGGAGTTACACAGGTAGGAAGTGCGAGAAAAGAAACTGTTAGAGTAGAAGCACCGGTAGCATCTTTCTAGTTCAACAGTAGAACAGTTAGCCTTCTTGTCAATCTAGTAGCTTAAATTCGTGTAGTTAGTGCATCAGGGAGAAAAGCTACAAAAACGTGTTGATTCGTTCAATTTCCCGCATTTAGTCTGTGATCGTTATTCGAATGAATAAGGACATTTGCTGAAACAAAAAAACCCGGATAGAATAAAAGAAGAAGTTTTTGTATTCAGTGGTACAACTTGACAATTTATATTCAAAAAATATAAAACATATATAGTAACAAATGAGAAAGCAGTAGAAATATTTGAAAACAGTTGATAAAAACCTATCGAACCATGTCCACTATTGTTCCACAAAAGAACTTAGCAAACTTGCATTTTGCTGAATTTTAAATGAAGCTGGCACCATCGTTCCCGTTTATTGTTTTGTCCAATTTTCAGTCTCTGGTTTAACAAAAATCGAAAGTGTAAGGATTCTGTATATGTGTAGTTATGATAGGATAGCAGACAGGAAACGTTTATCAATCTAACATGTTTCACTTTTATCAAAGCTTCACCGGAATATCTGATATGTAGACAAAAAAGAAATTTTTTTTTTTTTTTTAAGCATTTCACCCCAAGCAAAGCAGAAGTGCCACTAGCACGCAAGGGGTTATAGTGAGTGCGAGTAAGAGTAAAGAGTCGTGATAGAGGAAAGGATGAAGAGAAAGACGTAAAATTAGATCAAGGCATCTGAAGAAGTCGATTGACATTGCATTTGAATAATTGAGAATTATGGCTATCAGGGAAGCAAGTAAGAGAAATGGAGTTCTACAGATGGGAAGTGCGAGACATGAAGCCATTGGAGTAGAATAGATGATTACATTTAACTGTTTCGATAGTGAAAAGGTGGGACTGAGATGCCAAACTAGTAGCACGTTTAAATTCATGCAGTTTGGGAACCAGCGAAAGCAGCGAGTCGGAGCAGTTACCGTGAAAATATTCGTAGAAAAAACAGAGGGAGGCGACGGAACGTCTGTGAGAAAGTGACTGTAGACGAGATGCCAGATCAGGACCAACCACATTGCATATCCGTCTCTGGATTTATTTCCTTTTTTCTCTGCATGTCATTTTCTGACGAAGCTTTAATGAAAGTGAAATACGTTTTCAATTTGTTCTTTATCCTATCATTTTGTAGGATTCCGATCCATATTTGATTTGTATTTCATAGCAATTCATCATGTGTACGTTTGAGAGTGGAGAACAAGACTCGTAATATTTTGATAAACATAATAATTCTTGACATATCTTCCGATTCATTTATATCTTAAATAGTAAATTCCGACTTTATAAGTAATATCTTCTGTATTAAAAACAACATTATTGTATCAATCGATATTATATTCCTTGGGTATGTAATCTTTTTCCCCCTCACCTATCTATATAAAACATTGATTTCCAGAATTCTCTGCATTTACTGAAATCGATATAAAAAGAATAGGCTTATTTATCAATGGGCACGTATAATTGTTTGTTAAGCATGTAGCTAAAATGTACAATGGATTTACTGAAAAAGTTTATATAAATGTAAAAGTACTTATAATTCATGAATTTATTAAATTAATAAGTATGATGTTTACATGAAGCTGTGTTCATAAATAAGTTTAAAATTTTATGTGTTAAAGAAATGACGGATACTTTTCGGACACTTGTATATGTGTTTATAGTTGAATTAAAGAATTTAAGAGAGATGTCAATTATTAGATAGTAACGAAGAGGATAGAAAAAGGCCATGTGTGCGAACTTATTGTGAGTATATATATATATATATATATATATATATATATATATATATATATATATATATATATATGTTTGTTTGTTTGTGTGTGTGTGTGAGTGCGGATGTAATTTGTGTATTCCTTTTCTTATGTATATAATCGGGCTCTATTTAAATTTTTTTAAAAGAGCTTTTTTAAATACACATACATATAGCATTTTTTGCTTTATTTACCTATTAACAGCGCTGTTTCACGCGTAACGATTTTCAAAATGGGTGGTTGTTTATTCATGAAAAAATTGAAATATATAGATTGCTGTTAATGTGTAAATACAAGCAGAATGTTATGATATATATATATATATATATATATATATATATATATATATATATATATGTATGTATGTATGTATATATATATATATATATATATATATATATATGGGAACAATTTTAGCGATGCGTTTGTTTCGAGAAGGAACTTCTTCAGATTAATAATAATAACAACGGCGGTTTTGTTAATGGAATCGGTCTTGTACTATAGCAGAAATCTAGTGACAGAAATACAACAAACGTCGGTTATAGAATGCATCGAAACGTCAAACATAGAAAAACGTTAGGCTTTAAATTTAAATCATCTCGTTCAATGTATGGAGGACTTATACAGTAGTTTATTGCTTTTATTTAAAAAAAAAATTATCGCTATTGATTTAATTATCCCACATTGTATCAGTAGTTTGTGAGGAAAGAATGCATGTTGGCTTAACCTGATCCATAAAAAACCAAAAGGGAAAATAATACTGGTCATTTTGATAAAGGACTATGCTACCACCTCCCAAACCATTAACAACGAGAACAGAAAAACATTTATCAAAACTTATGGTAAGCTTACTTCATACAATTAGCTCTTTTCTTTTCTTCATAAAACTGATGATACAGTGTGTGAAATTTAAAAACAAAATCGATAAATAGCTGAATGGGATCAGCTAATATAAACATCGAAATACGCTGGAGATCAGAATTCAAATTTAGAGCTGAGCGTTCTCATATCTTTAACGTTGCCATATAAACGATAACCGGCGTTTGGTCTATTTTTCCGCCATAACCATAATTCCTATATAAAAACAGTTATTAGTCTGAAGAAGTTCTCGAAACGAAGTTTATCACTAACAAGTTTTTTTCAATTTTTATATATATATATATATATATATATATATATATATATATATATATATATATATATATATATATATATTGTGTGTGTGTAAGTAAGTGTTAAAATTTCAGATATAGTATATCTGTGAATGGACAATATCAATAAATGCAAAAGGAAAACTTCTCTTAGCCGACTCGTATATATATATATATATATATATATATATATGTATGTATGTATGTATGTATGTATGCTGTGTTTATGTGTATTAATATATATTGACAGGAACTGGACGCATGTACATATGTCGGAAGGTATTAGCGTTTTCTGGTGAAAAATGTCTTTACATTTAAAAAACATTCAGATAAATCTCGATTTTTCAGGGTAAAAAAATGTTCGAAATACCCCCCACTGGCCCCTCTCATGTTAAAGTTGATCTTCAAATTAAACACAAAGACGACATAAAACCCAAAACGACAAGGTTTTCTTAAAATTAAGTTTTTGAGGAATTAAAAGAATCCTCACCGATAGAAGGATTATAAAAATTTAGAACGGTGTTAGCAGCTAGCTTGCTGACTGCGTATTTGTGTTTGCATTTTTTTTTATTGTGTATTATGTCTTTGTTATTTCGTTTGTGTGTGTACTTGTGTTTCTGCTATAAGTGTTATGATTTTTTTTGTCTGCTTGCGTGCATATACCTGTCATATTTGTGTGTATGTCTTGTGATTTTTGTGTGTATGTCGCCGTGTGTTGAAAAAGATTACCTGAATTTTTGTTACATTTGCTTTCGGCTTTTAAAATACTGTTTTTTTTTTTAATTTTGTTTTTATTAATCAATATTTTCATTATTATTGTCGCCTATCTTCTCTATAGTGTCCATTCTTGACGAGAAAAAAAAAAAAGATAGAAAGAAAGCTCTTTCACTTTGAAAAATGTTCGTAATTGCATGCAAAACGTCTGTAAAAAGACAATTTCTTGAATCAGGTTTCTAAAACTCCAAGACTGTTGCATTATCAAAAAACAAATGAATGACCAAGAATGTACATTATTCAATAAGCCAACAAGATGTAGGCAAAAAATCAGATCTTCCATCAGAAACAATAATAACATCGACAACAGCAACAAGAAAAAAAATGAATTAATATTTCAGAGACAGTCAAAGATAAATTTCAAGGTGTTGTCATCATTATATATATATATATATATATATATATATATATATATATATATATATATATATATATATATATATATGTATATATATATATATATATATATTATATATTTTATATATATATATATGTATGTATATATGTATGTATATATATGTATATATATATATATATGTATGTATATATTTATATATGTAATAAATTTAATAAAGTTTATTAATCTTCTTATTCTTCTGCAAAACAGATCCTGATTTCTTATTCGTAATTGTAAAAATCCCCCTTTTTTTTTTTATTACTGCCATTTATGTATCTTAAAGAATGCTTCCAAGTCATGAACACCGCGAGCAGAGTATCAACGACTGATAAATTGTAATTCTTTATTTTACTTGACTTTTGAGAAATGATTGAGCAGGGATCTAAATAAATAAAAAATTGGGATCTTATATTTCTCCTCGACAAGTCAATAAACTCTTCCCCAATATCTGTTGCCTTGTGCAATCTTCTCGATTTTTTTTCAAATCCTTTTGTTGAATCGTCGGCTTTTTTCTCGTCACTCATATATCGGTAATGATACGGAGCATTGTACTCGAATGTATTATCCGGGCGTTGTCTGGTCACCCGCAAGGATCTGGAAATCAAGCCGCGGTAAGCAACGGGAAGTAGCGAATTTAAACAGTTGGTTTTCTTCTTTGTGCTGACAATTTCAGATCTGCCTCTTTCAGATCACGTGATCATGCAAGCCATTGGGGAACAGGTCTTTTGACCGTGAAGAGTTACTTTACGTCGAATTTGCTCTGTAAGATAAAAGAAAAAAAGTATATAATGTTCAAATTGTTGAAATCAGATAGCATCAATGGATTCCAAAGCAATGGTTGGGATTCATATTAAAGTCACGGGGCCCGTTTTTGGAAGAAAAGCAAAAACGAAAAAAAAAAAAAAAAAAAAACGAAACGAAACAAAACAAAAAAAAAACAAACAAAACAAAACAATAAAAACTCCCCCAAAACGGGGATAAAATTATGAAAATAAAAATTGATATTACAATTATATTATTTAATTATATACATATTAGATCACGGGGCCGTTTAGAAAAAAAAACAAACAAAAAAACAAAAACAAAAAAAAAACAAACAAAAAAAACAAAAAGCAAAAAAACAATAAAAACTAAAAAAAAAAATGTGGATAAAATTATGAAAATAAAAATTGATGTTACAATTATATTATTTAATTATATACATATTAGATCACGGGGCCGTTTAGAAAAAAAACAAACAAAAAAACAAAACAAAAAAAACAAAGAAAAAAAAAACAAAAAGCAAAAAACAATAAAAACTCAAAAAAAATGACGGGGATAAAATTATGAAAATAAAAACTGTTACGATTTAAATAAAAATAGTGCACACACACACACACACACACACACACACACACACACACACATACACACACACATATATATATATATATATATATATATATTCAAACATATTATTAAATATAGTAGACAACGAATGTCTATAATGTTTGAAGCTTCGTACAGTGGCTTTAGTTTCGGGAGAAAATAAAGACAAAATCTGTCCAACATTTAGATATTTTTTTTATTATGCTGTCCCACGATCTAACCTTTCGGTTCACATGAGCCATTACCAGATTGGCTCTATGGACATTACACCATCGAAGATGACATCCTGTTATGTTTACATAGAAGTTTGCTCTGCGACGATAATGGTTGCGCAATAGCAAACGCAGGTCGTAAATTCGTAATGCGATTCTATGGCGTCGTACAAGAGAAAGAAATGTTATCAAAAGAACCATGTGGTTAAATGCATTGCAATATGCTTTGACTGGTTTAAAATGTAATTTTGTTGAGTGTAGGTTGCTTTGTTTTAATGTAGATGACCCCCACTATACAAAACTTAGAACGACTCATGATCAAACATAATAGACATTCGTTGTCTGTTATATTTAACAATATATGTTTGAATAATGATCTGCTTCCCCAATACACTATATATATATATATATATATATATATATATGGGATAATGATATATACATTTTTATATATCAAGAATAATATTGGGGGAAAATGTATGACAAAGTAGAAAAAAGTTTTTGTGTGACGCGTTACGACTTTCTAGGACTTCGTCAGGCAAAGTTTGTTTAACGTTGATGCGACTACTCATGCGCACTAACGAGAGACGCTGGGAATTTTAAATTTAAAAATAATTTTATTTATTTATTTTTTATATACAGGGTGCGATGGCAAATTGTTGCCATTTTATATTTTAAAATTTCGTGCATGCACGTTGTTTGTTCTTGATTTTATCAACTGCAAAGTATAGTAGGGTCAGTTGGGCACCCTTTGTGAGATCATCATTTTCAAATCCCTCGGCCAGAAATTTTTAAATGACGTGCTATACTGCCAGAAGCTCCATTACAGGACATTTCAGGGTATCGTCAATCTGAGAACAGTGCAGGAGATTCAGAAAGAGTTGGGTGAGTCTAATAGTGATTACGAAGATATGTCAGCTCGAAAATATCACTCTGATCGTTCTAATAAGAAAAGAACACATGAACTTGTTGGTGAGGACCTCAGACTCAACACGGAGGCCTAAATCTAGTGTCTTGAGATGATAGTGCTACTCTGGGCCAAGAGAGTGGTCACTGGAAGTTCTTATGTCCGGCAACTGGATTTTGCACCGTGCCATACAAACAGAACCAAATAATAGCTCTCAGACAATTTCTGCGCCCACATCATCCCTTACATGTGGTCACCTAACTCCCCAGACTGTAATTCCCTTGATTATTATGTAAGGGGCGCAAGTGAGCGAGAGACCAACAAAACTCTTTGTAACACCAAAGATGAACTGAAAACAAGGATTATGGTAGCATTTACCAATTTAAACAAGGTGACCGTCCAGAAGTGTTGTAGGAGATTCCGAAATAGTCTGGAGACCATGGTTGAGGCCAATGGTGATTTTATTGAATAAATTTACTCTTTAGTATTCCAAGATAGTTTTGTGTAATTTTGGTAAATATATCTGTTAAAATGAGATGGGGGTGTTAGTTTTATTTTTGCGTAATTTTGACGACAATTTATCCATCTCACTTATACATGTTTTGGTTATATAATCTAGCCGATTTAATCTCGATTCTTTTTCTTTTTGTTTCCATCATTTTTTGTTATTAAATATCCCACATTAGGAGAACAAATGATCCGTAAAGAATGGTGAAACGTTATATGAACCTGGACGCAAATTTACTGTGAATGAACCTTTAATTAAAGTACTTTCTAAAAATTTTAGTCTTCGTGAATAGTTTTCGTTTTTGATAAGAATAGCATTTTGATAGTAAAATTGGGGCCAGTCTCGTTACGGTGAGCAAATAATGCGTTTAAGGGGTTGTTCCTTAAAATGTCCCTTTATGTTCACAACTACAGAATTTTTCTAAACTCAATATAAAATTTGTTACAACCACATCTATAAAACACTCAATGCAAACCGAACAATAAGTTAAGACTTGAAGTAGGAATTTACTTGACTGCGTGTAATGATTGCAACAAAAATACACCAGAGAAAATACAAGAAAATTAAAATATAATTAAATAAAAGATTATATGAACACAAAGGAGATATTTTACAAACTTAGTCTGATGAAGTACTAAGGGATGAAACGCGTCTCAATTTTTTTTTACTTTGCTATATATATATATATATATATATATCTTATAATTTTTTAATACAAATTATTATTAAAACCTTAGAACTGGAAAATAGTTGTGAATAATAAGGCATCACTAAAGGTATCAAAATTTATGGCATACTTCAGTCTGCAACGTGTATTTAAGCGAAATTCTAGTATTAAATTCTTCGAATCTTTTTATACCTGTTCAGCTTCGTATTCAAACGTAAACAAAGTAATATTCTAAAGTAATGGATTTATTTATCGTTCCGACAGATTTGTATTACTTTTAACGTTATTTTTAGTGGATGCTCATGTGTTTACGTTTGGATGCGAAACTGAGCAGGTATGAAAAAGTTCGAGGAAATTAATACACGAAGGATTTTGCTTAAAGTCACATTCCAAATTTTGTTTGATCAGCGAGGCTGGTCCGTGGCCAAGACGCTTAAGATACTTCAGTCTATTCTCGTCTAATGAGGAAGCGCCTGGATCCTGACTTAATCGCAGTATCATTTCTTACTTACGACAATGCTGTTTTGGAGGACTAACGTAGGAGGACTAATATGCGCGTGATATATTTACAGGCGGCGTTACCTTTCATTTTCTTTTATTAATATAAGAAGTGTTCTGATTTATTTATTATTATAGAGTAAAATTCAAACGGTTTCATTGTCTAAAACTAAATGAAGAAACACTGAAATTAAGTTTTTGACCTGAGGGTTTTGATCGTCCTCAAACTAACACTTCTGTGCAGTTCTTGTCATCCATAGATTCTTTGAGTTGATCGATGAATGTTCTCGCTGGGCTACTTCTTGATCTTATAATTGGGATACCATAGTGTAAACTTATGAACAATTTGTTTATTTATCCAGCAATGGCCTCTAAACTGCTCATGTCTCTCATCTACTGTATCTTTAATCTTTGATATTTTTTATATCGTTTTTCATTGGGTGTGCCTTGTTCCTAGGTTATATTTGGGCTTACGGCCGTATTCCGTTGAAACACAGGTTCTCGTACCATTACCGAAATCAAGCAACGTCAAGCCTGGTGACTACGTAGATGGGTGACTGCTTGGGAATAGCAGGTGCTATAAGCTTGAATGTGCGGACGGTGTAACAGATAACGGCTTGGAATTGGAAATCGGAGAGCCGAGTTCCAGCTGGAAAAGATATGAATCCACCTCTTCTACCCCAGCTATGGGTTAATTAGTAAGACTTTTGCCGGTATATCATAAATATCTCCAAAGAATCCTCACAATCTAATAACATTTTCTGTCTTTCAATCACCTGCAAAGGCTTGCTAAACCTTTAGAAAAATAAAATCAGAATCATAAACATTTGTTTACATGTAAATTATTTTATAAGGACTATTTCAATTTGTATCATAGTGTCACTATACGCATGTATATCAGTAATGGCGTATCTAGAAGCCTATCTCTCTTTAGGATGGTTTTTGAAAACAGTCTAATCCTTCTTGTAGACTGGTTGCAACTTCAAGGCCAGTGACCCAGTTCAGTCATGCTTTTAATGGAATTAGGAGAAGAGATTGATTCCTACCTTTCCCAAGGCTGTTAGTGCGAAAAAAGAACATGTTCGGAATCCGAACACGATTCGTCGGTTTCTTCTTCCAAGCTACTATACGACATTTAACATGAAATTTAGTTTTGCTATTATTTTACACGCCACTGTCAAATATCCACAGAGTGTCCCTGAATTCTGGACACATAGGAAATCTCGTCAACTATATATTTCTTTTTACCTCCACATTGTTTTGTCGAAAGAAGAACGAATTGACTTCTTTTTCTGGCGTATGACAAAGGAGAAGGTGTACTCAATGGAAATAAATGATCCAACGCGCTTGATTTAATACATAAACAGTACTAATGTACTAAAATTGACGGCAATGTGGAGTTATTGTATCGAGTTGACGTAAATCTTGCAAAGAACTTCAACCTTTGCATCACAAAAGATGGAAATCATATGGAAGATGTCATTTCTTAATATTCCAGTTCAATAAAATATTGTTGAAAATTTCATTTCATGAAAATATGCATTCTTGCCTAGGGAGTCCAAGCTTTAGGGACACACCCTGTAGAATAGCGCACCAACAAAATTCTATCAAATGGAAAATAAGAAACGATTTACTATACGATTATTATGTTCAATTCTTAAGCCAACGTTTATCTCGTTGCGTAAGTATAACCAACGTTTGTTTTATTTCGTTTCCTCATTTCTGTATGATTTCCTCAGTAAAAATGATATTTAGTCTGAAGAAGTCCTTTTGAATAATGAAACACGTCATATGGCACTTTTTCATTTTGTCATTCAATTACCCACCATTAACCTGATATATATATATATATATATATATATATATATATATATATATATATATAGTTTATCTATCGTATCCCTCATTCCTAGGCCTATATTGATACCTTGAATAAGATACAAATTTTCTTATTGGTTTTATGAAATTTTAAATGGAATTTTACTAGAATTTTATGGAATTTTAACGATAAAAGTTATTGCACTGTGAAGAAGTTTGAAGAAGTCCTTTTGAATAATGAAACGCGTCATATGGGACTTTTTCATTTTTCGTTCAATTACCTACCATTAAACTGATATATATATATATATATATATATATATATATAATTTTTTCATGTAGACAAAAACATTTAGTCACTACAAAGATGCAATATCGTTTCGGTGCATTTCAATTGCACCTCGACTGGTGAGAAAAATTATGATAAATAATTATTGCTCTACTATCAGTATCGAGCCCTCTTTTGCATTAATGCTGTGAACGTTAGAATTTATATATTATTTTCGTTCTCATTGCATCAGATATATACATATATATATATATATATATATATATATATATATATATATATATATATATATAGTTTATCTATCATATTTTCCCATTCCTAGGCATAGAATGACACCTTGAGTAAGATTCGAATTTTCTTATTGGTTTTATGAACTTTTAATGGAATTTTATGAAATTAATTAATTTTATAAATTAATTAATTAACAATCCTTGCGAAGGTTTGTTAATTAATTTGAAACTTTTAAAACCATTTATTTTACATTCGACACCATTACTTGATAAGACACCGGGGGTGTTGAAACAAAATGGCTATTTTTGTAGTGATTTTATAACATATTTATGTTATAAAATTTAAAAAAAATAAATAATCATATATATATATATATATATATATATATATATGTGTATGTGTGTGTGTGTGTGTCTGTTCGTATGCTATAGTATGTATGTATGTATGTGTGTATGCCATCGGAAGTTCAACTCAGGCAGTTTCTTCATCAGAACTCGAGAAGAGACTACCAAGAAGAGAGAACAATGAATGAATAAGACAGAAGAGAAGATTATTCCTCGATCCCTACGACGTTAATCTCTTCAAGTCTTATGCCAATCATTATCTATCCTACATATCCTCTTAAAATGCATTTCTCACTTCCTCCATTTAAAGCTTTTATAGTAATCTCTTCTGTCTTAATTCTTATTCATTCGTTGCTCTCTCTATTTAATGGTAGTTTTTCTCATATTCTCCAACACTCAGTAATCGTTTGCATCCTAGTGGCTTTATTGCCTTATTTGGTCTGAAATATATCCTCTCCTCACAAAGCAACTCCATTTAATAACATTTTGGTTCTTCTCTCTATATTTCTGAGATGAGGTATTGTAACTATTTGCACTATTTACGTTGTTCGGACTGTTGTCTACATCTTTATTGTCATATTCACGACGTTTCGGCCATTGTACGCTTCGATATGAACCAGTAATATTGTATACCCACCTAGTTCTGGGTGAGGTCTTGGCTGAATGAGTCGATTCCATAGTGTCTTATCTTCTCTCTCGGACGCTGATCGCTAGTTGTTTTGTTCGGAGAGAAAAGACATCAACAAAAGGGATTTTAAACTTGTCTATTTTATTAAACACGTCGACGTGTACATTTTTAACTAGCCAGTGGGGTCGGTCTATTACCCCCACTGGCGAGTAAGTTTCCAGAGACATGAAATAACAACGTCTACATACTTCGACGCGTAAAAACTTAACTCCCTGAAATCACGTTCTATCTCTCTAACATTCCCACGCCAGTTTTAACCACTTAAAAACAACTTCCTTTGTTTTGTCTACCATCTGACCTTAAAGATCAGCCTCCGAATGTTTGAGCACAAATACATTACCACGCAAAAATAATAGTTTGAAACTTATTTAGCAGTAATACAGAGAGCTTGAGAAAAACAACAATAACGAAAATTGTAATATGATCATTTTCTTATATTTTTTTAATGATGCATTTTAAAACTGCATAAATAAAATTAGGTAAAGGTGGAGTAAGGGATAGCGGATTGAGGAATCAGAGAGCCGAGTTCGAATTCCGGGCGAATCCATTACATTCACTTACATGAAAGGTATGAATCCTCTTTTTCTCCCTCCATCTATGGGTAAATGGCAGGTCATACTGGTTCTATAGCCTTGGATTGCAACTGGTCTACCGCAGAAAGAAATGGTAACCTACTGCGGGAAAAATCTGCCTCATCAGTCATGTATTGAAAGATACATGATCGCCTAAGCGTGTATCACGCATGGCACATAACTGATAAAAAGTACTTATTGTAATTTAAACTGTCAAGCTCAAAAATTGTTTTTATTTTTTTAAAAGGCATTAAACGGAATTCATATTCTTCCATGTACTATGTTCATTCAGGAAGTTAGCGATCATGGTTCTCTACAATTCAAGTCATAGCACGTGGAACAAGAACAATCTATCCTGTAGAATAAATAAAGGGTTCGGTTCGAAATTCCTATTTATATCACCTGAAGAAGTCCGGAATGTACAATGTCGAAACTTCGTGAATATTACAATAAAGATTAGGACAACAGTACGAACGTTGTAAATATTTTGGTTCTTGCGCTTTATACGGGGTGAACAATATCATTAAAAAAATGACGTGACTCTTCTATTGGTTGTGTCCCTCTGCAAATTCAGGACCTACGTTTTGTTTGAATCGAGAACAGAAACTACATTTTTGATTTCCCGTAAGAGAACGTTCCGGGATTGTTAACAGAAAGTCTTCAGTTTTATTTATCAGATATTGAAGACCAATTGAGATATTATAAGACTGAACATTGATCTCTATTTGGATTTAGGCAATAACAAAAGAAAACTCAGAAAGAAGAAAAGAGAAAATGGTCAAAATTCCTACCAGCGAGGTTTCGTCGATCAATAGCTACTAAAGCTTCAAAGAGTAACTTCATAATATTTTCATCTTTTCTAATTCCGTGCAACCAGATTATCAGCAATCGATACCCGTGTTCTTTGTAACTGTTGGGACCTGAAATGACGAAAAAGGAAATCGAAATTTAATTCTTCCAATTAATTCCTCAGATCAATAATCTTATTACCAAAACTGAGTGTTAATAAAATTAAAGATTTCTCTCGAACGTTATCAATCAACATTTTTTTAAAAAGCGTTTAGCAAGTAAATATTTTTAAATTAGAACTTTTGCTGAATTTAGAGGAACTTATTGCAATAACTTTTGCGATCAGAGTTGAAGAAAACAGTTTTTAACCCCATACAACTGATAGAATTCAAATCTTAATCAAAATACTTTTGTAGGCTTACGAATTGTTGGATTATCAAATAAATGTCGGACTTACTTTTATCTAGCCGTCAAAACAGGTAACTACTCAAACATTTATAAAAAAAATATCGTCATAAAATCGATTTATCTATTGAGCACTTTCTTGGGAAAATTACGTTTGCTTTGAAATAAGTTTGATACTAATGATTTCAAGTATTTCAACAGATTTGTATTATTATTCTTTTTATTTTCTTTGATTTCTGGCGTTTACACATTTCTTTCCGGGTCCCGCCCAGGGACCTAAGGTTAGAAATGGCATCATGATACTTTCCACTGACAAAAAAAAAAAAAAAAAAAAAATTACATCGATAAAGCCCTTCGTAAAGTGTTGGCTGTACTTGTCAGAACAATTTTTTGTATCTCATTGAGGCATGGACTTCCAGGAATCCCTTCAATTAGTCTACTGCAATCTTTTCCAACCAGTCCTAGGGCTCCAACTACAACAGGGATTGTTGATGTTTCCATATGCCACATTTTCGACATTTCTATTTCAAGGTCCTTGTATTTTGACAGGTTTTTTAATATCTTCAAAGATACATTTCAGTCAGCAGGGACTGCCATATCAATAAGGAGGCACCGTTTTTGTTTGTGGTCTTTAATGACAGTATCTGGGCGGTTGGCTTTGATTGTTCTGTCAGTGTGTATTGTATTATTGTTATTAACAAATACGCACACAGACACACGCACACATATATTTAGACATATGGAATTGGGATAGGAAGTGCTTCGGATTTCAGATGTTTTCGGAATTTTAAATACAAGTAATTTAATTTGTATATAGCTGCTAGCATCTATAAAATGGGCCAGTTTGGGAATGGAAACCAAGCATAAACACCATATCCATTTACATTTCATAACACAACTTATACATATATCTTGAAGGTAGTTTTATATAAGCCGCATATGTTCACTCCAACGTTGACAAATCCACTTCATCAATACAGCATCGAGATCATCATTTTTTGTTCTGTGTAGTGTTTTTCTATTTTCCATTCATTTCTGTTCACCACTTTCAGCATAAAACTTTAACTATTTCTCCTTCTGTTTCCTTAGGTCTTATATGAAGGGTTTTTTTTCCAACGCCAAAACTCCTCAGTCAAACGCTTCGCAATTACACATTTGTCTAGTTTTTCCAAGTTTGACTTTCTGTGATATTGATAAACATAAATTCTTTCTTTTTTTTCTTTTCACCCCCACCCCATATGCAGGACATTTGATATTTTGAATAATATCTTTATTGAGCACGAAACATCTGGGAAGTAATCCACGAACGAAGGTGTTGCTGTGACGATCGCTAACAAAAAAACTGGTGCCAACGTAGGCTACGTAGCTGGGCTAGGGAACAGATGAGGTGACAGCTGCACATCACCTAGGAACCTTCCTAATGCTTTGTAAAATTTTCCATTTGTCGCAAGTCATGTTAGCAAGAAAGACTTTCGGATTTTGAAGGTTTTCGGATTTGGGAATTTCGGATAAATGATATTCAGCATGTACGTATATATGATGGACTCTCCCGTCGATTTCGACGTATGAGGTTCCGACAACCTTTTAATGACCCTCATGTTTGAATCTAGAGTGACATTTCAGACCTGCTAATGACTTGCAAAGAAAACCACAGATTGGGTAAGCGTATGAGCAAAGAGGGTGCACTTCTCTGGCACCCTCTGAGGCTTTTTTCCTTTCTCTTGCTTCACGGAGCTTGACAACGCTTGCCGCCGAAAAATTCCTGATTCCAGTGTAAGTTACACTTTTCCAAGCTTTGCGATCCAAGGCAGTATTCTCCAAATCAGTGTGTGCAATATTTGCAGCTGCAAGGTTACTTTTCAGCTTATCTTTAAACCTGAGCAAGCCTCGGCCAACATTCCGTTGACCACCTTCAAGCTGGCTGTACATGAGAATCTTTGGAATTCTACCATCTTGCATCCGCACAACATGACCGGCCCATCGTAACTGTGCCCTCATGAGGAAGCTCTCAATTCCGTCAATGTTATACATCGTTAGAAGGTCGGCATTGGATTATATATATATATATATATATATATGTGTGTGTGTGTGTTAAGGTATGCTATATCTATAGGTTAATGTGCCCAATATCGAGGGACAGAGCGTATGTAAATATAAAAGTGGGAATCTATCAATAATTAATAGATCCCATAATCAATTAACCTCAATTTATCTGACAATTCTTCCAGTGAAACCATCTTAGAGAAAGATTATGAAGCAGCCCTAAATGATAGTGAATATTCGGCAACACTCTCATACACATGACACAGCGCAAAAAGCCAGCATGCAAAGAAACATTATATAATTAAATCCACAGTAAAAAAATAAACATAAAAAACGTAGAAAAAATATTCATTAAACTCATACACAATCACACTTCACCCCATTAAGCATTCTCCACGGGATAGTCAACAAAAACACAGTAAAAATCAGCTACAGTTGAACCAAGGACACCAAGCAAACAATAAAAAAGTACATCAGTAAAACAACCAACAAACCACCCGCAACAAATCAAACCTACGTGTAACTGCAAAGCAAATAACCAATGTCTCTTAAACGGCTATTGCTCGCGGAACAATGCAATATACCAAGCCATTTTAAAATTAGCAGATAACGAAGAAAAATATACATAGAAGTAGATACATCCATAGATTAGCGATACCTAAGGTTTAAAATAATTTTAAAAATGAAAAATGTTTCTTGAAGCTTTTATTTTAGTTTTAATTTCAAACTGATAGATTAAATTTAATATTTTCAATAAGCAAAATACTTTGCTGTAGTTCAAAACTAATTTAAATTAATTACAAGGAATTTTCGTTTTTAAATATTTTATTTTAGCGCCATTCTTAGCCACCTACTATCTTAATGTAATTAATTTTATTAAAATTTCTTCTAAAAATAAAATATACTTTTCTGAAACTTTTTTGAGGAATATTAGACAATTTAAAGTGTAATTAATCTGATTTGAAACAAATATTATTTACTTACAATTTAAAATATCGCAGAAATGCATGTTTTTAACACGTAGGTAGCAGTTTATTTAATCTGTTGATGTGTTGACAACTTGACGACAGGTGAATGTGTATCTAATGTTGTTCTTCGGATTTTTATCCGTAAAAAATAAATGAAGAATATAACGTGAGCACCTTTTTTATATAATTTTTAATTTCTCAGTAATCTTAAAAATTTATGAAAATATTCTGCGTAACCTTATTTTAATATAATTTTAATATAATTTTAATATAATTTTTATATAATTTTACATACTTTGGCTTCAAATTTATTATATTTATCGCTCTTATTTTCTGATAATATTTTCTATGAAAACCCGTGCATACAAAAATCGGTACGTTTATACACATATAAAGACAATTCAAAATTATTTAAAAAATACATAGTGCCCGTAAATTCTAATAAGCTTTACGATTTATTATTAGTAAATATTGTTTTACTTAATAACAATATTCCCTAATCTTTAAACCACTGAAATTGAATTTTAAAAGATTTAAAATTTATAAAAAATGAAAAGCAATCTATTTTTTTCTTAAGACTATATTGCCCTTAACAGATCATATTCATAAAAGTAATTGAAACCTTATCTTATTAAATAATGTCTTAGTTTTATTTATTTTATAGTTCAGAGAAGATTTTTTGTAAGATGAGGTTAAATTTTGCGAAATAAACAAATACATAAATAAATAAAATGAAATTGATGATTTAAATTCTACAAGGAGTTCTGCTTTTAATTAATATTGTCATTAAAAATTAACTCGTTTAATTTCTCGAGTTTTCATAAAATTAAGTAAGTGGGGTGCAACACATGTAAAAAAATATCTTTACCAAGTTTTTCTAAAAAAAAAAAAAACAAAAAAAACTACACTGCCTTAAACAGGTACAGAACTTACAACTCTTTGGATCCTGTCACTGGAATTATCCAACACCTTTACCCATTGTACCATGTGTCCTTAAGGACATCTGCGCATGGATTTCTGGAACTTATTTGGTGAACTTGGAGAAGTGAATTAACAGGAGATAACTGATAACTGACATCCATTAGACATGGCACGTGGAACTATAACAGTCTACCCTAGCGAGCGAAATAAAGGGTTCAGTTCGACATCCCAACCACCTGAAGAAGGCCGAAACGTTATGATAAATATGGCAACAAAGATGAGGACAATAGTGCGAATAATGTTAATAGTGTACATAATACCTCATCCCAAAAATATAGACAGATACTGACAGCACAATGACATCATTATTGTTTATTGCAAGACAGATATTGCAGTGTTCATTATTGTCGAAGACACACATGTATTTTAAAAAGAATTTTACACTGTTTCTTAAAAACGATTTTTTCCAAATATAAGGATGGACGTACTTGACATAATGTCAAATGTTCTAAGAGTTGTTTCCCCTGACAGTAAGAAACATCAGAAAATTTTGCGTTCATCTGAAAATTAAATTTCTTACTTGTGGAGTGAAGAACGCTGATTCAGCGCGTGATCGCTGATACCGATTAAGGGGAGGTAACTATGTATGGTTGTGGAGAGTTTTTACCAAATAAGTAGTAAAAAAACTATTAGTGCAAACCTTGATATTTCAAACTATTTATTGTACACATTTTAATACATTTGTGGAGTATTCCTAATTAATTTTATTAAGGTTTGATTTCAATGTTTTTAATATAGATATCTTCGAGAATTTTTAGTTTATGTTTATTCTTTTCATGAAAAAGTATAGAAGTATTTTCGAGAAGAATTTTTCTGAATTGCGAATGTAGACAGGTATATTGTGGTAAATGTTTAGAAATTTTGGACATGTTATTCAAATGAAAACTTAGCCTCCGATACATCACATTCAATAGAACATACGGAAGGAAAATTTCTATGTCTACATCTGTAGGAAATTGTGTTCACTGGCTCCAATATAAGCAGAACATACGAAATAAAAAGGCGGGAAGAAGCATTTTCAACTCTACACTTGTATGAAATAGTGTTCAAAGCCTTCAATGCGTCCAGATTATTCAGCAGGACACACGGAAATAGCGTTTGCACAACTACATTTGTATTAAATTGTGTTCAATTGCCCTAATCCCATCAAAGACCAAATCATGCAATAAAACTGACAGAACAAGTATTTGCTTCCCTACACCAGAATGTAAGTTTGTTCAATGGCTTAAACACATTTATGAACTTGAAAAGGCAATCGTATTGCAAAATTATTTGAAATACATACAAATAATAATTGAATCCATCCTCACCTATGTACTGGTGTTCAATGGCTTGAATATGTTCCGGTTTAAATTTCCAATAGAGCGCTAATTTTTTCCACTCGTTACTTTTCAGCTGCTTTGTAGAGAGTCGCCAGAGAATTTCTTTCATTTGCTCGGCTGACGGATGGGCAGGCCGCCTCAGGTAGGCGTGAGGCTCCACATATCCTAAATCATTATTGTGATATTCCTGAAAACAAAGAGGAAACGTTACATAAGCTGACAGTTAAACCAATAAATGCTTTACATTTTCTGAGTGGTCAGAAAATTCCAGTCAGATATAAAGTCTCATAGAAAATATTTGTTAGTAAAAGTTTTAGGTGCAATTCATATAGTCAACTGAATTGATTATTTTGCTAATAGCAAATGATGCTATTTAACTAAATGTATATTTGGGACAAGTTTCAGATATATTGCGCATTCCAAGATATATTTTAGATCATCAAGATTAACAAAAAGTAAATGAATAGGATTTAGAAATAATCATTTTAACGTGGGATCAATGAAAAAGTAATATTTCCAGTTGATTGCGTGTCTATGAGATTAGTCAGTGATAAGCTTTGGTTGTCAAAACAAGCTAAGATAAAAAAATGGTGTCAGTTTAAACTAACGCCAGGAGAATACGAACTTTAAAATTAAAGTCTGTTTTAGTTTTGTAGTTTAAACATTTCACTTTGCATGATTGCAACTGTGGGTGAATTAATTAAAGTTTGCTGCAAAGCCTTTTAATAGCTAAAAGCTGTCAAAATTCTAAGAAAAGTATGTTTTTTAATATGAAGCATGAATTTTAAAAATGACGAAAATGGTTGTAGTTTTTATAGTTTTAAATCTAAACACTTACTCAATACAAAACAAAACAATAAGCTGAAACTTGAAGGAGGAAGTTACTCGATTACGTGTAATGACTGCCACAAAAAATACATCGGAAAAACCTCAAGGAATTTAAATAAAAGATTATATGAATACAAGTCCGATGAACTTCTAGAAGAAAACTTTTCCACTTTGCGATATATATATATATATATATATATATATATATATATTGCAGACTGAAGTATGCCAGAAATTTTGATACCTTCAGTGATACCTTATTATTCCCAACTAGGAATTTACTCGTTTGTGTGTAATGATTGCAACAAAAATACATCAGAGAAAATACAAGAAAATTAAATAAAAGATTATATCATCACAAAAGAGATATTTTACAAAATACATGAGTAATCGCATCAACGTTAAACAAACTGAGTCTGATGAAGCACTAAAGGATGAAACGCGTCTCAATTTTTTTTTACTTTGCTATATATATATATATATATATATATATATATATATCCCAATTTTTGAATACAAATTATTATTAAAACCTTAGAACTGGAAAATAGTTGTGAATAATAAGGCATCACTAAAGGTATCAAAATTTATGGCATACTTCTGTCTGCAACGTGTATGTAAGCGAAATTCGTCTCGTATTAAATTCTTCGAATCTTTTTATATCTGCTCAGCTTCGTATTCAAACGTAAACAAAGTAATATTCTGAAGTAATGGATTTATTTATCATTTCGACAGATTTGTATTACTTTAAACGTTATTTTTAGTGGATGCTCATGTGTTTACGTTTGGATGCGAAACTGAGCAGGTATGAAAAAGTTCGAGGAATTTAATATGCGAAGGATTTTTCTTAAAGTCACATTCCAAATTTTGTTTGATCAGCGAGGCTGGTCCGTGGCCAAGACATTTAAGATCCTTTAGTCTGTTCGCATGTAGTGATGAAGCGGCTGGAGCCTGATTCAATCGCAGTATCATCTCTTACTCACTTATGACAATGCTGTTTTGGAGGATGAATGTTGTGTAATATACGTGTGATATATACGCAGCGTTACCTTTCATTTTCTTATATAAGCATAAGATTATTGAAGATAATTGTATCCCTGGCTACTTGAGAGGGATAGTGCGTTGTATCAGTTGTGAAAACCCAAGTTTTATTTATTAAATTAAGTTAAAGTGTATAATATCAGTTATTATTTACATCTGCCCGTGTAAAAACGTTTTTAGATACGTTGGTCAATAAAATTAGAATCCGTGAATATATTGTTTAATTTTAATTCTTTTACTGTGAACTTTCCCCGAGGAGAACTTTTCTCGCAGTAAACATTTCTCGCGGTGAACTTTCCCCGTGGTAAACCTTTCTCGCTGTGAACATTTCTCGCGGTGAACTTTCCTCGCTGCGAAATTTCCTCGCTGTGAGCTTTCCTCGAAGTGTACTTTCTTCGCAGTGAACTTTCCTCATAGGGTTTTGTACTCGTTATTATCGCCATGGACTCCATTTGACGCTCATTTTTCAGCTAACAATTTCTCCCCAGATGATGCCAACATCCTGTCCGTCCATGAGAACGCCAATATGTCTACCATTGAACTCCTCACATCGGATCGATTGTCGATTCATTCAATTAATTCTTCGCTTCATGTTTTTAATACAGGCGCTAAGTACTGGCTTACGAAGCTAAAAGTCGGAACTACTGTTAATTAATAATCGCTGGCTGATACACGGCATTTAATTTGCTCAGAAACACTTGCAAACATATACACGATGTCAAAATAGTGTATTTGAGCAGCAACCCTTCTCTAGTACATGTTGCATTAAAATGACTGACAAGCAGTAAAAAAGAAAAAAAACTTAAAGCTAAATTCGAAAAATAACTCCGTTCTGAAATTTACAAATGTTCATTGATTTGGATTTTATGTTATCAAGCCTTTGTGGGTAAATTAAAGCCGGTATATATATATATTTTTGATTGTAACAGTAATTCTTTATTTGCGATTGGATGTTTCAATAATAATGATGACTGTACCAGATACAAGCCCTACAATTTAACATATAGATGAGGGAGGTTGAACAGATAGAATCATACCAAACATTTACGATTGTTGCAGGAGCATACGAAATTGTTATGATTCAAAAAGAAATTTATTTCCAAAATCTATCTCATTTTTTTCTTTATTTATCAATCTATCTCACTTTTTCATTATCTATCTATCTATCTATCTATGCTTTTTCATTATCTATCTCAGGTTTTTCATAATGTATGTATGCATGCATGCATGTATGTATGTTTGTATCTATCTATCTATCTATCTATCTATCTATCTATCTATCTATGCTTTTTCATTATCTATCTCAGGTTTTTCATAATGTATGTATGCATGCATGCATGTATGTATGTTTGTATCTATCTATCTATCTATCTATCTATCTATCTATCTATCTATCTATCTATGCTTTTTCATTATCTATCTCAGGTTTTTCATAATTGTTGAAGCTTGAATAAGCATGGAATAATAATAATACAACACAAAATGTACGTAACAAAATGTATTGAAACAATGAAAAAAGGTATAACAATATTTACAGGTAGTTTTGGTATATTCTTGGGAAGACTGTTCCTGCAGAATGGGTTGACTAAGTCGCAGTCGGGCAGAGTCTGGATTCGATCTCTTAATCTTCCGTCGTCTTCCGGTACCAACCCATATTTATATGGTCGGTACTCCACTTATAAATTAGGTGTATCATACACAGGAAAGATGGATATGTACTTTGGATGAAAGCATACAAAGAAGAGCTATGTAGAAAGTATGAATTTGATCTATGGAAAAAGTTTATAAGGAAGTGAAAATACAGTGGAAGAAAGATCATTCTGTTAAAGTGTTTCATTAAAAAAAAAGATTTTTCATTATTTGGATGTTTTTTCATTCAAAGAAGATCTATCTATAGAAAGTAGGAATTTGACAAAGGGAAAAGTTTATAAGGAAGTGAAAAATAGGAAGTTTGGAAGAAAAGAATACATTAAACACCATAAATAGGAAAAAGATGGATTTTTTTGGATGAAAGAATACAAAGAAGATAAGTAGAAAGTAGGATTTGACAGTGGAAAAAGTTTATAAGGAAGTGAAAATACAGTGGAAGAAAGAATACATTAAACACCAAAATAGGAAAGATGGATTTGACTTTGGATGAAAGAATACAAAGAAGAGCTAAGTAGAAAGTATGAATTTGACAGTGGAAAAAAGTTATAAGGAAGTGAAAATACAGTGGAAGAAAGAATACATTAAACACCTAAATAGGAAAGATGGATTTGACTTTGGATGAAAGTATACAAAGTAGAGCTAAGTAGAAAGTATGAATTTGACAGTGGAAAAGTTTATAAGGAAGTGAAAATACAGTGGAAGAAAGAATACATTAAACACCTAAATAGGAAAGATGGATTTGTTTGATACAAAGAAGATTTAAGTAGAAAAGAATTTGAAGAAAAAGTTTATAAGGAAGTGAAAAGAAGTGGAAGAAAGAATTTGAGGAAAGATGGATTTGAAATGAAAGTTTAAAGAAGGAGAAAGAAAATTTGATTGGAAAAGTTTAATTGAAGTGAAAATACATGGAAGAAAAATACATTAAACACCTAAATAGGAAAGATGGATTTGACTTTTGGATGAAAGAATACAAAGAAGAGCTAAGTAGAAAGTCAGAATTTGACAGTGGAAAAAGTTTATAAGCAAAAAGTGAAAATACAGTGAAAGAAAGAATACATTAAACAGGAAGTAAATAGTGGGAAAGATGGATTTGACTTTGGATGATGAAAGAATACAAAGAAGAGCTAAGTAGAAAGTATGAATTTGACAGTGGGAAAAGTTTATAAGGAAGTGAAAATACAGTGGAAGAAAGAATACATTAAACACCTAAATAGGAAAGATGGATTTGACTTTGGATGAAAGAATACAAAGAAAGAGTAGAAAGTATGAACAGTGGAAAAGTTTATAAGGAAGTGAAATTTGAAAGAAGTGGAAAAATGGATTTTTATAAGGAAGTGAAAAAATACAGTGGAAGAAAGAAAATACATGGAAGAAAGAAACATTAAACACCAAAATAGGAAAGATGGATTTGACTTTGGATGAAAGAATACAAAGAGAAGAGCTATGAATTTGACAGTGGAAAAGTTTATAATTAAAACACTAAACAGGGAAAAAAGTTTGAAAGAATACAAAGAAGAAAAGAAAAAATGACAGTGGAAGAAAGAATACATTAAACACCAAAATAGGAAAGATGGATTTGACTTTGGATGAAAGAATACAAAGAAGAGCTAAGTAGAAAGTAGGAATTTGACAGTGGAAAAAGTTTATAAGGAAGTGAAAATACAGTGGAAGAAAGAATACATTAAACACCTAAATAGGAAAGATGGATTTGACTTTGGATGAAAGAATACAAAGAAGAGCTAAGTAGAAAGTATGAATTTGACAGTGGAAAAAGTTTATAAGGAAGTGAAAATACAGTGGAAGAAAGAATACATTAAACAGTGGAAAATAGGAAAGATGGATTTGACTTTGGATGAAAGAATAAAAAGAAGAGCTAAGTAGAAAGTAGGAATTTGACAGTGGAAAAAGTTTATAAGGAAGTGAAAAATACAGTGGAAGAAAGAATACATTAAACACAAATAGGAAAGATGGATTTGACTTTGGATGAAAGAATACAAAGAAGAGTGGTAGAAAGTAGGGAATTTGACAGTGGAAAAAGTTTTTGACAGTGGAAGAAAGAAAAAGATTTGACTTTGGATGAAAGAATAGAAAGTAGGAATTTGAAGTGAAAAGTTTATAAGGAACAAAAACAGAAGAAGAAAGAATACATTAAACACCTAAATAGGAAAGATGGATTTGACTTTGGATGAAAGAATACAAAGAAGAGCTGGCAGAAAGTATGAATTTGACAGTGGAAAAGTTTATAAGGAAGTGAAAATACAGTGGAAGAAAGAATAATTAAACACAAAAAGGAAAGATGGATTTGACTTTGGATGAAAGAATACAAAGAAGAAAGTAGAAAGTAGGAATTTGACAGTGGAAAAGTTTATAAGGAAGTGAAAATACAGTGGAAGAAAGAATACATTAAACACCAGAAAATAGGAAAGATGGATTTGACTTTGGATGAAAGAATACAAAGAAGAGCTAAGTAGAAAGTAGGAATTTGACAGTGAAAAAAAGTTTATAAGGAAGTGAAAATACAGTGGAAGAAAGAAGAAATTAAACACCTAAATAGGAAAGATGGATTTGACTTTGGATGAAAGAATACAAAGAAGAGCTAAGTAGAAAGTATGAATTTGACAGTGGAAAAAAGTTATAAGGAAGTGAAAATACAGTGGAAGAAAGAATACATTAAACACCAAAATAGGAAAGATGGATTTGACTTTGGATGAAAGAATACAAAGAAGAGCTAAGTAGAAAGTATGAATTTGACAGTGGAAAAAGTTTATAAGGAAGTGAAAATACAGTGGAAGAAAGAATACATTAAACACCTAAATAGGAAAGATGGATTTGACTTTGGATGAAAGAATACAAAGAAGAGCTAAGTAGAAAGTATGAATTTGACAGTGGAAAAAGTTTATAAGGAAGTGAAAATACAGTGGAAGAAAGAATACATTAAACACCTAAATAGGAAAGATGGATTTGACTTTGGATGAAAGAATACAAAGAAGAGCTAAGTAGAAAGTAGGAATTTGACAGTGGAAAAGTTTATAAGGAAGTGAAAATACAGTGGAAGAAAGAATACATTAAACACCTAAATAGGAAAGATGGATTTGACTTTGGATGAAAGAATACAAAGAAGAGCTAAGTGAAAGAAAGTGGAAGGAATTTGACAGTGGAAAAAGTTTATAAGGAAGTGAAAAAACAGTGGAAAGAAAGAATACATTAAACACCTAAAAGGAAAGATGGATTTGAATTTGGATGAAAGAATACAAAGAAGAGACAGAAAGTTTGAATTTGACAGTGGAAAAGTTTATAAGGAAGTGAAAATACAGTGGAAGAAAAAGAAAAATTAAACACCTAAATAGGGAAAGATGGATTTGAATTTGGATGAAAGACAAAGAAGAGCTAAGTAGAAAGTAGGAATTTGACAGTGGAAAAAGTTTATAAGGAAGTGAAAATACAGTGGAAGAAAGAATACATTAAACACCAAAATAGGAAAGATGGATTTGACTTTGGATGAAAGAATACAAAGAAGAGCTAAGTAGAAAGTATGAATTTGACAGTGGAAAAAGTTTATAAGGAAGTGAAAATACAGAAGAAAGAAAGAAAGAAAGATGGATTTGACTTTGGATGAAAAACAAAGAAATAAGAAGAAAGATGAATTTGACAGTGGAAAAAGTTTATAAGGAAGTGAAAATACAGTGGAAGAAAGAATACATTAAACACCTAAATAAAAAAGATGGCTTTGAATTTGGATGAAAGAATACAAAGAAGAGCTAAGTA